TCTGCGGCGGCAGCAGACGCTGCTGCCTCATCTCGCTTCTTCCGGGCGCGAATCCTGCTGGCTTGCCGCATGGCTTCGGGATTGGCGCCGAGGCCGTCACTGCCCGCTGAGCCAAAGGAAGAAAAAAAACACCGCCGCCGAGATCCGCATCGTCCCCAGGCACAGCAGGCTTGGAGACACCTCCATCGGCTGTGGCCGCTTCTGGCGCAGGGGTCGCCCCTCCGCCATCCTTCGGCGTCGCCGCGGCGCCGCCTGGCCCCGAGGCGCTCGCGCGCGGCGGCGGCCTCGGCCGTGGGCGCGGCGATTTGCTGACACGTGGCGCCGAGGGCCGTGGGCGCAGCCTTCTGAACTTTAGTAAGGCTGCACTTGGCCCTCTCCCAGTCTGCGCGCTCTTTGTCGGAGAGCTCGAGCCCGCTGGCGTCGAACGCTGGGCCCTCGATGATGGCGGGCTTCTGAGCGCCGCCCTCGGCATCGAGCAGCGTCGGGAGGTGGATGTGCAAAGTGGCGGGTGCTGACTCCGCTGCCGCCTTCGGGACGTGCTTGGCGCGTGCCTTCTGCCCCTCCCAACGCGGCCTCGCAGGGTGCCGTGGCCGCGGCTGCGTCATCCTCGCGGGCCTGCCCGAGCGGTTCCTCGCCCTCCGAGACCCCGGGCGCGAGGTGGTCCAGTCGGCCTTGAGCTGCGCGAGCGGCAGCGCCCTTGGCATGCGCCTCCGCCTCCAAAAGGAGTGGTTTGACGCAGCCAACGCCTCGTCCAGTGATTTGAGGAGGCCATCGTGCTCTGAACTCTCGGCGAGCTTTGAGCGAGGGAGAGCACTGACGGACATCGGGTTCAGGCGGTGGGTGGGCGACCCACCCTTTCTGCGGCACGTAGGAGTAGACGACGCCCGATGCTGGTGGAGCCCCCGACGCCTTGTGTGGAGGTGGAGGCCCTGGGCCTTTTCTTCTTGCCCTTGCCCCTTTTGCCCCCAGCCGATCCCTTGCCGTCGCAGCCGGAGAAGATCCCGCAGGAGGCCGCAGCGCTTGCAACTGACGGGCCCTGTTCCTTGAACGGAGTGTCATCGATCGCTAAGGTCGGAGGGCCGAACAACCACTTGCCTGTGGGTTTGCGCTCGAAGGCGGGGAAGTCGACCAGCGGAGAGACGCGCTGGTAACACCAACCGTTGTTCTTGAAGTTCCACCTGCACCTGCAGTAAGAGCACGACTTCGATTGTACCTTCTTCTTCTTGCTTGCATGCTCCTGCCACGACATGAGAAGCGGACTGACTGCTTGCCCCAGTAGAGCTCACGAAGCCCGTACCGCCACGGCAGGCTAGTGCGAGCGGCAGATGAATGTGCTCCAGGAGCTGATTGCACAGGGGCCCTGCGCCGCCCCCACAGCTACGTCCAAGCTCCAAACGCGGGAACAACGTTTGGAACTTGAGCCAACATGGCTACGGAAGAGACGGGGAAGAGGATGGGAATGAGGAGGACGAAGGGCAGGAGGAAACTGAAGAAGAGAATGAGTGAGTGAGTGAGTGGAAAAGAAGGAGGAGGAGGAGGAGGAGGAGGAGGAGGAGGAGGAAGCGGAGGGGGAGGAGGAGGAGGCGGAGGGGGAGGAGGAGGAGGAAGAGGAGGAGGAGGAGGAGGAGAGAGGGGAAAAGTGAGGATAGGCAGGGTGGATGAGGAGGAGGAGGGGGAGGAGGAGGAGGAGGGGGAGGGGGAGGGGGAGGACGTGGAGGAGGAGGAGGAGGAGGAGGAGGAGCAGGAGGAGGAGAGAGTATCTGCGACTTGGCCACAACGCAACGATGGCCAAGGCGTTCGATCAGGCGGCGGCGAGCGTGGCAGGCCCGGTTTGGACGATGCTGCGCAGTTGGTGGGGCAGCTACTGTTCGGCGGGACTTGACTCACGTTGCAGACCTGAAGCAGCCCTTTGGTTGGCTTCACAGAGGCATCTTCCCCGACCTTGGGCAAATCAGCACCTCGGGTGGATCGGGTCCATGCCTCCTGTGCCAGTGCCCGTCGGGGCTTCCTGGCCCTTGGCCTGTCTCGAGCTGCAAAGCGTGGGGCCCATGCCCTGAGGAAGAGAAGGCGGTCTCTGCCAGTTTCGTTCACCCGATTTGGGAGAGATAAATCGGATGTCCTCCAGCTCCTGACCCTCTTCGGAGTGGAACTGCCTTCCAGCCATGCGGGCACCCAGAGGGGATGTCAAGAGCTGAGCCGCGTTATGCCTCCATCGGTGTTAGGGGGAGTCTGTCGTCGACAGAACTTCTCAGCAGGGGAGGGAGGGAAGGAGAAGGCAGCAGCGAGGGGAGAGGGGAGATGAGTAAGTAGGGAGTGGGAGGAGGACGAGGAGGAGGAGGCGGAAGAGGAGGAGGAGGAGGAAAAGGAGGAGGAGGAGGAGGAGACGGATAAGGAGGAGGAGGAGGAGGAGGAGGACGAGGAGAAGAAACAGCAGGAGGAGGAGGAGTAGGAGGGGAAGGAAGAGGAGGAGATCAGGTAGGAAGGATGTGCTCTCCGCCGTCTACTGCGCTGCGCGCGGCGCCACGCGGTCGCGCTTCCTCGCCCACGCCCACCGCCACTGTCCAAACGCCCGCTGCCCTCCGGTTTCTTTTCCCCCCTGCTTGTTTTCTGCCCGTTTTCAATACGTTTTTCATTCGCTCTTAGTTATCACAATGCCGCCTGCCTGACGTGCAATTTCCAGGATGTCATGTTCATAAGCGTTTTGGTCGAGTCCAGGGCGAAAAGTGGGGAACTGACAAACATTGCCCCCCCAGCAAGTTATGATAACCAAATGATGCCCCCGCCTCCTCCGGCTGGACCTGTTGAAGGTTGCCCGCCTGCGTGGTTGACGGTCGCCCGATTCGGCGGTGGAACGGGCTTCGATTCAGGCGCTGAAGTGAGGACTTTTTTGGTGCTTAGGAGCGGCTCTGGCAGTTGTTCGGGCCGCTTCTGACATCCAAGTCTGGACATCTGTTCGTGGCCGAGGCTCGCTGTGGCCAGGAAAGCTCCGTCGTTCCTTCTTCAGCGTTCCTTCTGGTAGCAGGCAGCACGATGGCTGTCAGCAGTTGCGGCGGGCACACGCGGAGGCCAGAGCCGAAGAGTGTTGGCCCTTCCCAGGAGAGTAAGGCGCCCAGCGCCCAGCGCGCTCTCTGCCTCCCCTGCGTCCTGAGAACCAAGACAAGAATCGGCGGGAGGCTCTGGGCCATCCTCGGCGGGGGAGGGGGCTCACCGGGCCGACGGGGCCGTCAGATGAGCAGTTCGGGGTGAGGAACAGTCGAGAATTGCTGACGCTTCGCGAATCCCCACCAGCCCATCCAGAAACGATGCCCAGAGGAATTGCCTCGATCAGGGAAGCGGGCAGCACACAGAGGAAGGGTCCCCCAGTGGAGACTTCTTGGAGCGTCTGGGTGCTTCGGAGAGCTTCTTGGGGCCTCTTGGGGGCCTCTTGGAGGCCTCTTGGAGGCCTCTTGGGCGCCTGTTGGGGCCTCCTGGGGCCTCCTGGACGCCTCTTGGGGCCCTCTTGAAGCGCTCTTGGGAGCCTTGGGAGCGCTCTTGGAGCCCTCTTGGGCCATCTTGGAGCCATCTTGAGGCCTTGGCGAGAAAGCCGAAAACTTTGATGTTCCAAAGGTTTTGGAAGGATTTTGGCCTCTTTGGGACCTCCTGGGGGAGCTCTTTGGCCACTTGGAGCCGTCTTGAGCGGTCTTGGGGCCTCTTGGAGCATCGTGGGCGCCATCTTGAGGCATCTTGGGATATCCGGAGCCATCTTGGAGATCATCTTTGGCTCTCCCAGGCGCTCTTGGAGTCATCTGAAGCAGTGCCCCCCCCAGGAGGCCAACATGTGGCCAAAACCTTAGTAACATCAGCGATTTTGGCATTGTCGCCGAGGCCTCTTGGAGCGTCTTGGGTGCCTCTGGGGGGCCTCTTGGGGCCTCTTGGATGTCTCTTGGAGGTCTCTTGGGAGCCTCTTGGGGACATCCTGGGGGCATCCTGGGGGCCTCTTGGGGCTTCCTGGCCACCTCTTGGGGCCCTCTTGGGGCACCCTAGGGAGCCTTGGGGGCCATCTGTGGGCCATCTTGGGTGAGATCGATCACAGGAGGGGGGTGTTCTATTAGCGTCCCCCCCCCAAGAGGCCAAATCGGGTCCAACACCCTAGTAAAATCAATGCTTTGGGCTTCCTCGCCCAGGCCGTTTTGGACGCCCTGACACCTCGCGCCCCCCCCCTCCAGGTCCAGGGGAGGGGGGAGGGAGGTGTCAAGACCCCCTCCCCGCCCGCAAGCCGTCTCGCTCACTCCCACCTGCCCTCCCAACACATACGTAGCACCCGAGTCTGGCCCGAGCCTCAGCATATTCAGCAGTCGTCTTTGGATGGGCAGCTACTGGGGGCCAATCCGCCGCCGCCGCCGCCGCCTCCGCCGCCGCCGCCGCCGCCGCTGCCGCCGCCGCCGCCGCCGCCGCCGCCCCGCCGCCGCCGCGCCGCCGCCGCCGCCGCCGCCGCTGCGCCGCCGCCGCCGCCGCCCCCGCCGCCACCGCCGCCGCCGCCGCCGCCGCCGCCGCCGCCGCCGCCGCCGCCCGCCGCCGCCGCCGCCGCCGCCGCCGCCGCCAGCAGCCGCTGCAGCCGCCGCCGCCGCCGCCGCCGCCGCCGCCGCCAAGTGTACTCTGTATTGTTGTTTGACAGGGATGGTGGGGGGGGCCGCATCGGGTTGGCTGCGCATGCTCTGAATTTGGAGGCAGAGTGTGTTTTGTATGGTTGTTTTACAAGGGATGGCGGGGGGGGTGTCGTCATGGACCTGGGTTGGCCCCCAGTCGCCTGGGGGAAAGGGGTGTTTATTAATAGGGAACAGTGATAAACCCTTCCCCGAAAGGGAAGAAGGAGGGGTGGAAGAGGAAAATCTTTAAACCACCGACGCCCAGAGGGTTGGTGGGATCCTGAGGGTCCACGAAGTGAGAAATATCAGCGTCGAAGACCTCGGTCTTCGTCCCCTGCTTGGGAGGAGGGGCGAAGGCGGAAGAGCCGCCCAAAGGCGCACGGCGTGGTGGTCAGGCTTGGACAAGACCTGGAGGTGCTGCCGTTTGGGCCTGGCTGCAGCGGGGTGCTCTTTTGCAGCGCTGGCGCTGCCGCCGCAGCGCCTCCCCCTGCCCCCCGTGCCCCCTGGACCGGGAGGAGAAGGAGGAGGAGGAGGAGGAGGAGGAGGAGGAGGAGGAGGAGGAGGAGGAGGAGGAGGAGGGGAGGAGAGGAGGAGGGAGGAGGAGGAGGAGGAGGAGGAGGGAGGAGGAGGAGGAGGAGGAGGGAGGAGGAGGAGGAGGAGGAGGAGGAGGGAGGAGAGGATGGAGGAGGGAGGAGGAGGAGGATGGCCGCGAGTCGGAGTGGGCGCGTCGAACCGATCCCACCCCCGCCCGCGCCACCGCCCCGACGGACAGGCGACGGAGGCCCCGAAGCCGCGGGACGCACGCACAGACACTACGCGTAGCGTCCGCGCGTGCAGCCCAGCCGCTCAAGCCCAAGGGCCAGGCGGCCGCGGCACCCCAGGAGGACGGTTGGGGGCAACTGCAGGGCCCGTCTGGCAAGAAACCGAGGCGGATCCAGCGGGGCGGGGAGGGTTGCTGGGCCGCCCTGGCCCGCCGCCCCCGCCCCCTTCACGCGCCGCGCCCGCGCGGCAGGCAGCCAGCAAGAAGGCGACCCTGCCGCCGAGCACGTCCTGCCCCCAGCGTCGGCAGCCGCCGCCGCCGCCACCTCCTTCACTTTCCGCGCTGCCGCCGCAGGCCACGGTGGCCGCGGCAGCAGCCCCTGGGGGCGCCGCACTGGCGGCATTTCCCCCCCTCACCTCCACCTCTCTGCACGAACGAGATGGGCACTGAAAGAGTGGGTACGATGCCCAACAGCAGTTGCTGTTCGTTTTGAACAGGACTTGCTGTCCGCGCCGCCGCGGCCTGTGGAGACAGAAGGCCGCCTGCCCAACAGCGGCCGCTGTTGGTTTGGGCATTGCATCCACTTTTCCGTACCCTTTTCGGGCGTCCAAAACCTCGGCGCTCAGCTCGGCGCCAGCCAGCCCACCGCCGCCACGGCAGCCCAGCGCGCCGCTAGGCCGCCGCGCGGGTGAGCTTCTCCTCTGCCGTGGGACGCCGCCGCCGCTGGCCACGGCCGCCGCGGCGGCAGCCCCTGGGGGTACCGCACTGACGGTCGTCCCCCCACTCCTCACTTCCTCGATGTCGCGCAGCTCGGCACCAGCCAGGCCGCCTCGATCGCCACAGTAGCCCAGCTCTCTGCCCTCCGCTGCGTGGGTGAGCTCATCCTCCGCCGTGGGGATGGTGGTGCGCCGCCGCCGCAGGCCACGGTGGCCGCGGCAGCAGCCCCTGTGGGCGCCGCGCTGGCGGTCCTACCCTTCCTCACCTCCGCCACGTCACGCATCGCGGCGCTATCCAGCCCTTTGTCGCCACGGCAGTCCAGCGCCCCGCCGGGTCACCGCACGAGTGAGCTCCTCCGCTGCCGTGGGACGCCGCCGTCGCAGGCCACCGCGGCGCGGCGACAGCCCTTGGGGGCGCCGCACTGGCGGCCCTCCCCCCCCTCACCTCCTCATCGACGCGCAGCTCGGCACAAGCCAAGCCGCCTCCGTCGCCACAGCTGTCCCACGCTCCGTCAGGTCGCCGTGTGGGTGAGCTTCTCCTCCGTGGGGATGGCGGGACGCCGCCGCCGCAAGCCGCGGTGGCCGCGGCGGCGGCACCGGGGGGCGCCGCACTGGCGGCACTTCCCCCCCTCACCTCGTCCTCCTCACGCGGCCAGGCACCGCCTCTGCCGCTGCCGCTGTCCTCACCCCCGCCGCAGGCCACTGTGGCCGCGGCGAAGGCCTTTGGGGGCGGGCTGGCCCAAGCCAGGCCGCCTCTGCCTCCTCTGCCCTGTGCTCCGCCATGTCCACGCACGGGTGAGCTCCTTCTCCGCCATGGGGATGGTGGGGTTGGCGAGCTAGGACGGGCCGCGGGGGCGCCGCGGGCGGTGGCCGTCCCGCCTCCCCCCCCTGCCCCTCACCATCCCTTCGTGGCAGGCGCGGGCAGCGCGCGTCCTGCCACCCCGCCCTTCGAGCCCGTCTCGAAGTTTGCTCCTTGCCTCACCAGGGCCTCTTCGTTGCTGCGAACGCCGTTCCCACGGTGACGACAACTGCTGCCACCTCCTCCGCGTTCTTCGGCCACGGGGGACCGCGGCAGCGGCTCCTGGGGGCTCCGCACAGGCGGTCTTGCCCCCCCCTCACTTCGTCCTCGTCTCGCGGCCCGGCGCCTCTTCTGCCTCCGCGACGCTCCTCGCCGCCGCCGCAGGCCACGGGCGCCGCAGCGACGGCCCATGTGGGCGCCGCACTGGCGGCACTTCTCCCCCTCTCCTCATCCTCCTCCCGCGGGCTGGCACCATCTTGGCCGTCATCGTCATCACCTCTGCCCTGCGCTCCGCCTGGTCGGCGTCCGGGTGAGCTCTTCCACCGCCATGGGGATGGTGGGGTGGCGAGCTAGGGCGGACCGCGGGGGCGCGGGTGGTGGCCGCCCCCCCCCCCCCCTGCCCACGCTCCTCGCCATCGCCGCAGGCCACGGGGGCCGCAGCGACGGCCCCCGCGGGCGCCGCGCTGGTGGTGCTTTCCCCCCTCTCGTCCTCCGCGTCACGTAGTTCGGCGCCAGCCAGGTCGCCTCCGTCGCCGCTGGCCGCCTCTCCGTCTGCACCAGCGAAGTGGTCATCGAGCCGCCGCACCGTGGCCGCCACCATGCCCGTGATCTTGTGCGCGAGACCCTGCTGCAAGCGGCCGATCACAGCGTTGCCCGCGTCAGAGGGCCGGAACCTGCACTCCTGGCTGAAGCTGCTCGCCCGCGCGGCGTCCGCGAACCCGCATCTGACGCAGGCGACGAGCGGGAGGCGCCGCTCCAGCAACTCGTCGTCCACGGGGCAGATCACGACCAGGTCGTGGGAGGCAAGGCCCTGCTGTTTCAGCACGTCGTTGGCCCGCCTCGCGTCGCCGACGATGCTACCAGGGCACTCCCCGACATACTCCGTCCACATGCGCACCTCGCACCATCTGGGCTGCCCTGGGTGGCCTCGCCATGCGCAGGCCACCCGCGCGGCGGGCTCTCGGCGCGCCTGCAAAGCCCGCTGCTGCCGCTCTTTGCCGTGAGTGGTGTCACTGCCGTCCAGCCACGTGCCCACCGCCGTGCGCTACATGGCTACCAGCTCGAGCTGCCTGCGCTCTGAGATGAGCTTGCATCGATCTTCAGCAGGCGCTCGACCCTGGCTCGCAGCGGCCTTGGCGGCCTGGTCCGCGTGCCTGTTGCCCAACCAGTCGCGGTTGGTGATGGCACCCTCCGTGACCTGCTTCCTCGCGCGGTGGGCTGGGGCCCAGCGTGCGTGCGCCGCACGGCCAAGCCACCTCGCTCGCCCATGAGGAGCCACGCCTGCCGCGACAGGTGCGCCCAGGAGTACGCGTACAATGGTGACCACTCGCCCCGCCATGGTGAAGCCGTCGCAGACGTCCTTCGAGTCCACGTCCAGGGTAGTGTCGCCCAAGCCAAACTGCAGCGCCATGATGACGGCCATCAGCTCGCCCCCATTGACGTCGACGTAGTGCCCCCCAATCTGACCAGCGATGGAGGCGCCGTAACAGTCGGCGTCTTGTTGGAGGGCGACCACGCCCCAGCCGACAGGCGAAGCCGTCGAAGTCCGACTCGAACGCGGAGCCGTCCAGGAAGAGCTCACCCCCAGGAAGCACTCCCAGCGCGGTCGCCTCGCCAGCACACCTGGTCACTGGCCTGCGGCCTGCGCAGGGCAGGCGCGAAGGGCCACGGGCACCTCTCAGGTTGGTGGCCGCGCCTCCTGGGCTCCGCGATCTCCGCAGGGGGTGCCAGCACGCTGCGCCAACTGGCGCAGTCACAATGTCGGTACAGCAGGTTGCCTCTCGCGCCACACCGCAGGCGGTCGGCGCCGGCGGCCAGCCCCTTCTCCTCCTTGCGTGCCTGGGGCCGCTGCCCGTTGACGACCGGCGAGTGCAGGCGCGCCCTCTCGTGCAGAGTGAGCCTCACCTTGGCCCCCGCTGCAGCGCCCTCCTGCCTGTCCCCCACGCTGGTGGCGCACCCCGAGGTGGTGGGCCTGATCAGCGGCTCGAGCACTCCACCACCCGCCAGGTGAGCGCAGCCTGGCGCCTTGCTGACCTGCCTCCGCTGCCACCGCACGATGGCGCGCTGCACCAATTTCGCGACGATCCACGGGGGGACGTCGATGGGCGCGATGCTGCAGCCATCGTCCATCCTCCAGCAGTTGGCGGCGACGACCTCCCACCCGATCCTGCGCAGCGAGAGCGCTCGTGTCCTGCGCATATAGGACCACCATCCGCCTGCTCGACCGCCATCAGGATGTCGATGAGCGCCTCAAGGCTGACCTCACTGAGCTCGAGGAGCTTTCTCGGCTTGATCGCCTCGAAGCCCGCTGCGGTGCCCTTCCTGAAGGAGCGCAGGCAAGCGCGCAGCTCCTCCACCGACGGCCGCGGCGGCCGCTCGCCGAGGTCGGGCGGCCACCGCAGCTCCGCATGGTCGCACTCCACCTTCCAGAGCTTGCTCCACTCCTTCTCGAGCCGCGCAAGCTCCTTGCCTAAGCCCGTGGGGCCCTGGCCGCCACTGCAGGGGCTGCTCTGCCATCCGACAGGCACCCTGGTGACCGCGCGTAGGACCGACGCGCCTCCCTTGAGCTGCTCGCCCACCCACGCGTCGAACTGCCGCCCCCGCTCAGCCAGGTCGCGCCGTGCAAGATTGCTCGCGCGCTGCTTGGCCAGGCTAGCCATGGCCTCCACCGGCGGGAACCCCAGCGCGCAGCGGCGCCATGCCGCAGAAACCTGAGCCATCTGCCCGCGGCCGTGCTGAGGTGGCGACCGCCGCCGCCTGCCTGCGGCTGCGCGTCGATGAGGGATGCCTCCGCGTCCTGCCCGCCACGCTCGGCGCCCTCCTGCCACCTGGCGACCCTCTGGGGCGCCGTGGCCGCGAGCGCCGGCAGGTACTCGAGCGCCTCGAGCCTCGCTGGCGCGCTTCCCTGGGCAGCGGCGCG